GTCAATCCAAGAGCGTTTGTGTGTGGTTGATCTAAGTGATAGCTGGCAAAAATCCGTTAGTCTTGGAGTATTATCCAAGTGAATCTTCTGGCCGGTGCAAGTGCCCGGCAGCTCTGCTATAGCTGAAAAGTCAACATACCTTCCCTACTGAAGGACTGGCAGAGTTCAAGTTGTGTGAGGAAAGGCGTATTGGTCTGCTCGTGGCCAAGGACGTCTGATAGCTGGGTTGACCTATAGTGGCGAATCACAATTGGAACTGAGTCAACGCTAGCCTGGAAGGGATCGACTCGGGGACTATCGAGATATATTCGATCCCGCTCTCGTTGGTTCTTGCAGTCAACAATTGTTGGAGTGAGGAAACGGAGTAATAGTCAATCGTGGATTCCCAACACGACAACTGGTGCCGTGACCCGGGAGATGTAGTTAGCGACATGTACGAGGTGAGATCGATTATAACACCGGGTTTGACACTGCTACGCCAGGGGGCTCTGGATCGACTACGTACCTGGTCGGATCACAAGCTGTCGCATGTTAGACGAGATTGGAATGGGAGTGCTCACAGCTTAGCAAGTGCTGCTCTGTAACGACAATGTGGGATCAAAGTCGGGTCTGAAAAGGAAATCCATAACCTAGTGACCTTGAACCGGTTGGATGAGATCCGGATAGTGAAGATCGGAAACTAGATCACCCAGATATCTGCGGTAACGACCCGATCTAAAGCTAGATCTGAAGTGCGCGTTAGGTCTAATCCAGACTCATTGCGCGAGAAAGTGGTGCGAGAACTGCGGATCTAACGGATCCGGCAAGCACAAGATGAGGAGTCGTGGATCTCAGGACTGAAGAAATATTTGGTTGGCGAGATCTGCGATCTGACACAAGAAGAGGCTAAGGTGTTTGGATATATTGCTGTAAATTATGAAGTGGATCAGTCGGATCTACTCTTCTACTGCCCGGCGACTAAGGAGGCCGCCGCGGATCGAGACAAGTTGATGCGCTTGGTGGTACCTGAGATGCTTCAACAAGACATTTTGCATCACTATCACACGAGCTTGCAGGGTGGCCATCAAGAAATCGGTCGTACCTATGATCGGCTCCGCGATCATTTCCATTGGAGAGGGCTATATAAGAGTATACAGTGATATGTGGGAGAATGAGTTGATTGCGAAACAGGCAAAGAACGACCTCGGATCCTGCGTGAGTCACCTGGTAACCTTCAGGCAAAATACCCATTCCAGATCGTTGCCATGGATCATGCCTAAAACCTTCAATAGTAACCCAGAACTGTTGATCTTCGTGGATCAATTCTCTGGATATGTGATCACCAAGGCCAGAGCCTCCAGATCTGCACAAACGATCGCTGAGACTTACGAAGAATGCGTTTTCCGCAGATTTGGTGCGAGCGAGGTGATCCGACATGATCGAGAGCCAGCCTTTATGTCTGACTTCTTCAAGCCCTTTAACAAGATATTGGGTTAACGCCAACGTGCTACTATGGCTTATCTATCCCAATCTAATGGATCCGCAGAGCGTATGGACCAGACGGCCACCAGGGTTCTTAAGATGTATGTGCAGGATCGGGATCAACGTGATTGGGATGAATACGCCGAGCGGTCACCTTCGCGATCAACCCCGCAAGGGATCGGGTCCGAGGTGAAACCCCTTTCTACATGGTACATGGTTGGGATACTAGATCCACTCTGGAGGCGGTAATCCCGGTAGGGAGCACTCGTAGGCACGATCGAGATCCGAGAAGGTGGCGATATCGGATGCAAAAGTAGTACCAGCAAGCCTGAGAACAAGTGAACCAACGATTACGCGAAGCAATCGCGGATCGGGCCGACCCACATAATGATCTGGTACGTCCACATCTTGTCGAGGCTGGATCAAGAGTTTGGCTGTATTTGGATGGGGTGCGTGAGGGATATGCGAAGAAATTGGCACACTTATGGCATGGACCATTTCGCGTTGCTGGGAAGATCGAGGAAATGCAATGAAGCTGGAGATTGCAGGATAAACGTATAGCATATTCCCGGTTGTACATGCCTCGAAGATCAAACCGGTCAAGATATTTCCAGCTCGACCGGTAGCTCGCCTAGAGGAGCCGGATGGAGATCGGGTGGACTTCGATGAAGCTCTCCTATCCGAAGCCAGTTGGATCCAGGATCGGGATCCAGATGAATACGAAGTGGATCAAATTTTCGATATATGAACTGGCAAGAGGACTAGATATGGACGGATCAATCGAAACGTTTTGGTACGTTGACGTGGATATGAAGATCCAACTTGGGTGGATGAAGCAGACCTCAACTGCGGTGCTCTTCTGTATGAGTTCCTGCAAGATCGTGACGTGGAGCGACCACGGAAAATCCGATCAAGTGTGACTAGGAGCCGGATGATCGATTGAAAGGCGAAGATGGGTGCAAGGCGTGTCGCACTTGGTGTGACGAACACACCAGTTGAAGTTGGCTGCGCAAGCCGAACCCTACCCTACACCTCGATCGTCGATCAACGAGAAGGACTTCGATCATCGATCATCGATCAACAAGAGGCGCTTCGATCAACGGACATCGATCAACAGGTGAAGAGTGGAGGGCCGCTGGCAGGATGGACAACGCTGATGTGGGTACAATGGTCCCATTTTTACGGCACATGTAGGTACAGTTCAGGATGAGTGGTTGGGGAGATAGGCTAGGGAAAGATAGGTAGACTTCTGAATATTCTTTGGACC